AAAAAAGTCATACTTACGTCTTGAAATTTTATTTACTTTTTTTCTGTTCTTAATAAATGCGTTTTTTAAATGTTGAATTTGTAAAAATTCATATTTTGTTTTTCACTAATGAAGGGTTATTTGAATGTGCATATGAAGTGGTTGGGTTCTGTACCTCTAACAAAGTTAAGAACCACTGCCCTCGTGTCTTCCTTCACAACTAAGATTTTGGGGTGCTGAAACGCGAATACCGACAAGCCCTTGTGCCCTGCCTCTCTTTGTTGGTCATTGTTTTTCATGTTTCTTGGACAGTTGTGCCTGTGAAGCTAATTTTGCTGCTTGGTCACCTGCAATGACAAGAAGAGCAAGTCCAAGTTTTGGTCTTACCTTTTTTTTGAGGGCCTCCATTGATTCAAATTCCAGACGAGCCAGTTTGATCTGGATGTGTTTGGGAACATCTGGGACCAAGAAGGCTAGGAAAAACTTGAAGGCCAACAATCCATGCTGAAATTACAATTCAAAACAGGAAAAATATTTGTTTATATGGCGTTTTGATCTTAAATACTGGCATCAATATCTTTTTTCTTGAACAAAACAAACATGCTCGGAACAAGGGATTAATATGACAAAAGAATTATCGAACTAAAACATGTCACAAAAACATTTGATGGCAGAGTATTCTTTGGCATTTGACTCAGCATGACTTAGATTTGTTCTTGGTTTTGCTGTCCGGTGCTTTCTACCGTCTTTATTACCGATTTGCTTTACTGTTTGTTGTATATATTAAATTGCTCCATGTACAGCACTTTGTACGCAGCGATGGCTGTTTGAAAGTGCTCTATAAATACAGTTGAGTTGCGTTGAGTTGAGAGTCTACCTGGACTTCTTTCGCTACCAGTGCATAATAAGTAGAAATTTGTGCTTAAATCGTCCATACACGTTTGCCACAAATCTGTATGTTCAGAGTTGAATTTGAGAATACTCTGCCAACAAATTTAGAACTTCCTCAGAACACGCTTTCAAAAAAAAAAAAAAAAAAATGAAACATCTTTTACCCACCAGGAATCACATATTAAAACTACAGTCATTTATGACAATGATAACTTTAACTGTAAAAATAATGTCTACTGGGGACTTGCGTTGGCTAATATCCTAAATAATGAAAAGGACACTTCAAAAGTGTATCCACAATCCTTTTAAATGCTGTGTGTGCTGTATGAATATGGATAGCACAGGTGTCAAATTCATTACCAGATCGCGACAGCAAATCATGTGTGTCAACTTGCTTGATCTTTGCTAAAATCTGGACGGAAATGTCACATTGTGTTGTGTAATAAATAACGTTGAGATTCTCCAATAATTTTGTTCCCCTGTTTACACTCCTGCGAACAATAATTAAACAAACTATTACAATTGATTTGGCTGATTTCAAAACTAGTAATCCATTAATTTGCTGTATCCAAGTAATAATGCGATGAGACGCACTATTTTTGTGGTTTCCGAATGGTCTAAGGGAGGATGTCACTCCAAAGTGGTCTGTGACACCCCTGTGGAACTGGGAGTCGCGGCTTGGAAATGAAGCGAGTTTACATGGGACAGGAGATGTGAGCCGATGTCTTTTTCATCAATGGACGCTACAGCTTCTTGTTGCTTTCAAACTTAGCTTGTAGCAGATGTGTGCACATTTTCAGCATGACGTCTTTGATCCACTGGTGAAAGGACACTTTGAATCTCTCCTCTTTCATCCATAACAGCTTCAAACAACAAAGTGTATGAGGAAAAAGTGGTTAGGATTGCGCGACTGTCTGTGTCTTATGTGTTGTGTTGTATTATTTTGTCATTTTGTTAACTGTTTTTTTAATGGCGACACAGGCACCCCCAGCGGCTCCTCTTGTTGTCTGTTGTCTGGTTGAGAGGGAAGAAATTTCATCTGTGCTGTATGTGAAACATACAGCACAGATGAAATTCTGTGTAAGAGCATTTACACAAAAAGTACAAAAACAGTCAAACTAAAATTTGAGTCTGAGTCATGCTGAGTCAAAAGCCAAAGAATAGAAATATATTTGGACAAGTTTTAAAGATGGGCAGCGAGGGGGAGGGACCAGCAACGGAAAAGGCTGAGCCTCCGCTTAGTTCTTGGTAGCTCTAATAATTTCTGGTCCACAGACCTGAGGCATCGGGCAGATGTGTAGGTGCGGAGGAGCTCAGAGAGGTAGGGTGGAGTGAGGCCATTTCAAGATTTGAAAACCAATCATAGGATTTTAAAAAGAACTCTAAAATGTACAGGTATATGGAGCCAGTGAAGGGATGCCAGAGTCGGAGTTATGTGCTCCTTCTTACGAGTACCAGTCAAGAGGCGAGTAGCAGCATTCTGGACCAACTGGAGATGCTAAATGGAGGATTGGCTGACTCCAAAGTAAAGTGCATAACTTGCTATGAATGTTAACAACTTATCCAGTGTTTGTTCATTCATGACTGAATTTAAAAAAAAAAAATTTTAGTCTATATGCAAGTTTTGTGCCACACTGTTTAACTCATTCACTCCCAAAGACATTTTAAACGTCTTTTCAGACTTGGTCCAGAATTGGCTGGTACCGAATGAGTTAATTTAAAGCTCCTGTCAAATGGTTCTGAATATTGGCACATATTTTGCCATTCTAATCTTAAAAATGCCCGAATAAACGGAATGAAAAAGAATATTACACAAGCTTAAAAAGAATGTACGTAGAAAATAATACCCCACCAATATAAGTGATTTTAGGCTTGTTTTCTGATGGTTTTCAGCAGACTTTGCAACAGCCACACTCAAAGTCGAAAACTGCGACATTGGATTCATATAAGAGAGGGAAGATGAACCCACTTCTCTATCCTACAAAATACGACTGGTATGTCCCCATTTTGCATGTTATCTTTATATGATGTTAACCAATTTAAAGATGTGAAAATACCTTGAAAACAAATGAATAAATGCTCTTGAATGCTCAAAATGTTGGAGAGGTGAGAACTTCCATCTATGTCCTCGTTCGAAAGCAAGCCAAACAGCACAATTGTTGACTATCGGAATGTTTTGTTTTTAAGACAGCAACAAGTGAATCCTGTGAGCTTAGATACATTTAAGTAGATTTTTTTTCAACTCAATTGCTGTCACGACTCATTAGAGAAGGAAGGAAGCTGTCAGGTGAGGGGCAAAATTTGGACAGGAGACGAAGTCTTTACATGCAAACATTCTGAGTAGAAAACAGCAGGGTTGGATGCAGCAGTACATGGAAGGCTAAATGTCCTGGCAACTGAGTAAATTGAGCATAAATAAAGTAAAACATCAGGCCACGCACAACCCTGGGGACCAAAGCAACTAATAACATCAAAGATCCAAAGACCCAAACCCATTCACAGTCACAAGAGTGCCCCCCATTTCAGGGGCACTGCCCGGTGCCTTTCCCGGCTTGTGAGGGGACTCAGAAGAAGTCTCGGAGGAGGGAAGGGTCAAGGATGAGGGATCTGGTCACATTGCGTCAGCTGTAGTGAATGCCCAACAATGCCTCTACTTTGTAACGAAGTTGAAAAGCACTCACATCCCCACATCTCTGATGGTGAACTTTTACAACTGTGCCATCATAGTGTTCTTACATGGATTTTTAGTGTGGTTCACTTGCTGCATTAAGGCAGACCAGAAGGCACTCCAGCAAGTGGTGGGCATTGACAGTGGCATAGCCAAAAATCTTTCACTGGGGTGGCCAGGGTGAACCCATGACTCAAATAGGGGTGGCCATAAGTTCATACCTGAAATGTTTAAATCAGTGCGTCTTAACAGTTCCACTGTACCGTGTACAGGGCAACCTTGGGCTATGAGCACTGAGGAGTGGGCTGCACAAAATAATTTCTGCTTTGCGCTGGTGGCCCGTGGGGGCAGTGAATGTAATCAATTCAGTACAGCGGAGCTGTTACAATTGTTAAGGAGTTACTCAGTTAAAATAGAGCTTTCTGCCACTTGGCAGCGATGAGGCAAATGCCAGTTATTGACCTGAACCCAACATGTAGAAAAAGAAACTGAACAACAAAAGTCATGACTAAGTGTAAAAAAAAAAACAAAAACAAAAACAAATAAAGGAAATCCAAGTCGATGCATAATCTCACCAAAAGACCCTGACTTCTTTTGCATTCTCCCTGACCTCACTGTCTCTTCTTTCAAGCATTTCATCGCTTTTCCCCCTTTTTTGCTACGCTTGTTGGAGTAGGCCATAATCTTTGTTTTCAAGGAGCTTAACAGACAAAGGAACCATTAAAATAGAGTGAACACATGACTTAAGTTGTGTTTGGTGGGTCTGATACATGGGGTCACTGTACATGGAGCATATACACATAATAATCAAAATTTAATTAAAATTTCAGCAAAATTTTCACGACAATCATATCATGAAAGGCATTTCTTACCTTTCAATTTTTCTGACATCTTTCCAAGGTTTTTAAAAATAAGCTCATCTAACAGTGGTCCAGCAAGACCTGTTCAAACAAGCTCTTCACGACGATATGAAGAAAAAGGTCTGCTTCATACTAAACAACAGTTGTACAGAGAAAGACATTAATAGCATTTTAGTTTTACGGTGTTTTGTATTTACACTGTTTTGTGGTTAAATAAAGAGGAAAAGTGACGAACCGTCATGCGGATGCACGCAAACACAGTCAGATGGACGGACACAGAAGTGATAGAATATTAATGTAACGTTGGCAACTATAATAAAAAGGATCTGGAATTGTCTTACAAATGAACAGGTTGGATCATTTTTAAAATATCAGTGACGGATCACACACACGTGAGAAAGTCTAAGAAAAAGTGGAGCCCAGGGCTCCTCCCCGCTATTTTGGTACCGCAGAGAGACTACCGGATATCTGTGTCTGAAGTGCTTCAAAAGTAAGTCGCATACAACACATTGAGACCGGAACCGTTCATGTAATTGTAACCCAAACTGGTTAAGACCGTCATTTTTTTGTTAGTTCTGTAAGGTGATATTTGTTTGTTATACTGCTGTTTCCGAGGGACCACGAACGCACCACAGCGCTAAGAGCGAGGACTCGTTCGCGAGAGAGCCAGAACATTCTCGCACTTTCCCAGGCGGGTCGAAACGAAAGAACGATAAATGAAAACTGGTCCTTGAACCTCTACCTGTGGTCGTAAAGTTGAATCCTGTGGCAATCTTTCTCTTTTCTCTCCAAGGCGAGAGAAGGGTTTAGAAGAGATAACGTTCCTGGTGAGTGTTTTTAGTTGAATATGTCCGATTAGCATTCCTAGCATTCGATTTGTAACATTAAAAAAACAGTCAGGAATGAAGTTGTTAAAATTAGATATTGTTTCTTTGTTGATTTAAAATATAACTGTGTTGTTTAAAAGAAAAGAAGATCAACCATTGTACCGACACGTGCGCTCCTGAGCAAGCGCATTAGCATCGAGCTAAGCTAACATGCTCACAGTGAAGAGCGCTGTGGCCTTCACCCGGGCTAGATTTACCAAATCAATTATTTTCCCTGGCCGATTATAGCCACATTGAGTAAATACCTTGCGCATTTTGTGCAGGCTTTTTTTTAGGACTCAAAGACCATCAAAAGATTGGACTACGTAGTCTGTAGACTGGATGCCACGTGGGACATCGGTGAAGGACATCTTGGACTTCAAAGCCACCCGTCCCCTGGAAGGTGGTAGGACAGTTGAAAGGATTTCCATTTTTTTTCCTGACGAATCCCGTATTTTTTGTTTAATCTGAGATCTGAGTCATTTTTTTTATGGGTCAGATCTGATACCAAAAACAACTGATAAGAACTGATAACAATTTAACTTGTTTTTTTCCTTGTTCATCTTTTTGTATTCTTGTTCAGAGGAGTGTATTTAGTTCAGTTCCCCATTCACTCCTGATGTAAATATTTACTCAATATATTTTTTTGTAAAAAACTCAGTGTGTCTTCTTCCTGTTGGAGGTTTCCCCTTGACTCTAACTAGAGTCTGCTGTAGCCAATCCCACTGTGACCTTAAGTAGTGCACCCCAACTCGAATAGATTTGATAAATTGACACACTTTCCCTTGACAACTTAATAGAAGGGTGACACTAGTAGCTGCACCTAGGGTGGCTACACAATTTGGCGAGCTAGCCAGGAGATTGGCATAGCAGCTTAGTTACCTCCAACGCAACCCCGAAGACACAGGTGACAGGTTAGTCTATTTGATTTTCTTTGCAAAAAAAAAAAATGGATCTCTGTGAACGATTTGGAATTGATGGTCAGAAAACCTTGTTTGTTACAGGGGTTGAACAAATTTGCACCAATGACAACATTTCTGATGTGTTTGTGATAAATGGCAAAATTGCTCAGGTCATTCGAGTTCCTGATGAGTTACATCAGCCTAAAGGCAGAACTCTGGTTGTCTATGAATCAGAACAGGCTATTCTGAAAATTGATCCCTTGACTTTAGGGGGGCTTGTAAGCCCTGTTGATCCAAGTTCAGTTTGGACTTCTAAAACTGTTAGAGACATCACTCAAGGCGAGATGGGCAAAGAAGTGGCCCGTCGATACCTGAGGGAACTTGAGTCTATGGGGAGTAGTGGGAAGGTTGGCTTCCTTAGCTTTCTTCAAAGCGAATCACAGACAGACCCCACACCAAAGATTGCACCACAACCGACTGACGACCAGAATGTTGACACTGCCACTCACTATTCCGATCGAAGTGAACCAATGGAACTCAGTAGCGCTTTTAGCCCTAGGAATGTCCGCATAGATGAGAGCCTTTACAACCCTCCTCATGTTCAGAAGGTAGTAGTTGAGCACATTGTACGTAATGAGCCAACTCACACATCACACACGAGAATACGCACTTTCTCAGGTCAAATTCCTAGGCCCAACGGTGAAGTGGATTATGAGACATGGCGCAGCCAAGTTGATCTCTTACTCAGTGACTCTTCTTTGACTGATGCACACAAGGTGAGGAGGATCCTTGAGAGCTTGCTCAGCCCTGCTTCTGAAATTGTAAAGCCCCTTGGTGTCACTGCGTCACCACTTATGTCGATCAGCTTGAATCTGCTTTCGGTGTTGTCGAGGATGGAGAAGAACTCACTTCACTTCCTTTCTTTGCTCGAACCAAAACAGCGGAGAAAAATCCTCTGCTTTCTTAAGTCGCCTCCACAGTCTTCTCACCAGAGTAATTTCTAGAGGAGGGGCAGCTGCTACGAATGCAGATGGGCTGCTCCTTAAACAATTTATTCGGGGTTGCTGGGACCAGAGTTTGATAATAGGTCTCCAACTTGAAGGGAAAAAGGGTTCTCCTCCCTCATTCCCTGACCTCCTTCTCATGTTGAGGACAGAAGAAGACCGATGGCCAGCCAAGTTTGATCGTATGAAGAAACATTTGGGTGCAACAAAGGCTGCTGCACACGCCCACTCTGCATTTAGCATTCCGATCTTTGACCAAGTACCGCTTGTAGGCCCCACTTCATCAGATAACGAAACTGTGAAACTTGATTTGAAAATGAACTCATGAGACAAGTCGAAAAGGTGAGCAAAAAGGAGAGGCACACCACCCTACTGACAAACTCCCCTCTATCCCCACAACCCATTGAGCAACCCCCAAATGAAACTGCTAAACTTGAAAATCAAATTGCTGAGTTGACCAAACAAGTTCAAATACTTGTCCAGAACCAGAAGGTTACATGCAAATCCGAAACCCCCAATCCGAAGGAGTTCTCGGCTGTAAATATGAGACAAACACAAACCACTACAAGAATCCCTGGAATGCCGCGTGCATGGTTTTGTTTCAAGTGTGGGGAAGGAAATCACATAGCAGTCCATTGCACAAATGAGCCAAATCCCACGCTTGTCAAAGAAAGGAATGCAGAGTTGAAGAAGAAACAAGCAGACTTTGCTGCAAGACAAACTGCAGCTCCTTTTGCTTTAAACTAGTGACAGCTCCTGCAGTGTGACTTCCAGGAGCTGAAACCCTTGATTCTCTGAGTCCCAAATCCCTGGGCATTGAATGGCAAACCACGTGCCAAACCCAACCTGTTGACATTTTCAACCCTCAATTGATATTACCCCAAAGTCTTATAGGCCCACGCTGTGCAGCCTCTGTACTTGTTGAAGGTACACCATGCGAATCCATAATAGACTCCGGTTCACAAGTGACGACAATTTCTGAAACTTTTCACAAAGAGCACCTTTCCCATCTTCTCATCCAACCCATCCACACTATTCTTGAGATTGAAGGAGCTGGGGGACAAAATGTCCCATACTTTGGCTACATTCAAACAAACATTTCGTTTCCACAGCACATAGCGGGAAAAGAGCAGCAATTGGTCGTACTCGCACTCGTGGTTCCTGAATGCCACTTCAACAGTAGAATCCCACTGCTGATTGGGACAAATGGGCTTTTGCGACTTCATGAGCAATTAGTGGAGCAAAATGGGCCCAAGTTTATTCAGATCTTACCTTCTAAACAGTTTGCAATGATCCTCCAACATGTTGCCCAGGCACAGAGAAGTGATACTCATTCCTACCTTGTCATGCTGCATAGTAAGAAGCCAATCACAGTCCTTGCAAACCAAAAATTGTGTCTTATGGGGATTGTGAGATTAGGACGGAAGAACCAAAACACAAGATTTGTGCTTGAACAGCATGACCAGTACAGATTACCAGGAGGGCTGCTAATTGAATCAGCTTTAGTGGACATCCCCTTTAGGGCCAGTACCAAAGTACAAAGGACAAAGGTCATAGTGCATAATGTGAGCGAACATAGTGTGACATTGCGGCCCACTAGTGTCACGGCTCAAGCTTGTGCAGCCCAGCTGGTTTCCCCTTTAGAATCTGTGCAATCTCAGTTTTCCCCAAGTCAACCGGAACAGGAAACCAATAGACCCCCATTCAGTCTTGATGAGTCTCCCATCCCACATGAGTGGAAAGAGCGCATCCAGAAAAAAGCTACAATCTATTTCTGAAGTTTTTGCCCTTGATGAAATGTCGTATGGCCACACCACTGCTGTAAAACATCAGATCCGGTTACATGATGAGACACCTTTCAAAGAAAGGCCAAGACCTATCCACCCAAGTGACAGAGAAGCAGTGAAGCAGCATCTCAGACAGTTACTCGATGTTGGAATAATCCGTGAGTCTCAAGCCCTTTCGCTTCACCCATTGTCTTAGTTAAGAAAAAGAATGTCTCAATTCGCCTATGCATAGACTATCGCAAGCTAAATATGAGGACCATTAGAGATGCATACGCCCTACCAAATATTGAAGAGACATTTGCAGCTCTCAGTGGAGCAAAGTGGTTCTCTGTCATGGTCCTTAAGTCTGGCTATTATCAAGTCAAAGTAGCCGAAGAAGACAAGCCTAAGACGGCTTTCGTGTGCCCCTAGGCTTCTATGAGTTTAACAGGATGCCACAAGGCATCACAAATGCCCCAGGCACTTTCCAACGCCTCATGGAGAAGTGCGTTTGTGACCTCCACCTCAACAAAGGGATTGTTTTTCTGGACGATCTAATTGTGTTCTCAGACACATTAGAGGAGCACGAAAACAGATTGATGAAGGTGTTGTCACGTCTCAGAGACTATGGACTTAAGTTGTCTCCAGAAAAGTGCCAATTCTTTCGAGATTCAGTGAAATACTTAGGACATGTTGTGGATGCACGTGGAGTTCATACCGATCCTGACAAAATCTCAGCTTTGAAAACCTGGTCACGTCTATCTACTTTCAAAGAATTGAAGTGTTTTCTAGGCTTCGCTGGATACTATCACCGTTTTGTTGAAGGATACTCCAAGATAACTAAACTCCTTAACCGCCTCACTGCAAACTATCATCCACCAAAGAAACGAGGAAAGATTTACAAACGAGAGCCATCCCAGTTGGCCCGTCATCCTATTCAGTCACTTGCTGATCTTTGGACTCCAGAGTGTGAGACGGCTTTTCATTCGATCATTGAGAAACTTACCTCAGCACCTATTCTCGCTTTTGCAGACCCACAGCTTCCATACATACTACACACTGACGCTTGTCAGGATGATTTGGGAGCTGTGCTCTATCAACAGCAGGGAGGGAAGCTTCGAGCAGTTGCTTATGCTAGTCGGGGGCTTTCCAAAAGTGAACAAAATTATCCCACACATAAACTTGAATTCTTGGCCCTCAAGTGGGCCGTGTGTGACAAGTTTGATGATTACCTGTATGGTTCCTCTTTTGTTGTCCTGACTGATAATAATCCCCTAACAGATGTCTTGACAAGTGCCCTATGGATGCGGCTGGACATAGATGGTTGGCTGCCTTGTCTACGTATCATTTCACCATCAAGTACCGGGCAGGTCAAGCAAACAAAGACGCTGATGGCTTGTCTCGTCGGCCACAAGAGCCACCTCACGAAGATGAGGCTTTTTGCAAGGAGAGAGCTCGTATTAATGACATGAAAGAACGCCTCATTGAGGCATCCAACCAAGTAGACCATGGAACTTTCATTGCATTGTGTCAGCGCCATTCTGTTCCATTTCCATCAGGACCGGTTGTTGTTGTGGAGTCCCTAGCTATTGACCCTTCAGTAGTTCCTGAAGCCTATGGGGAAGACATCTTGCCCTCAATGACAGATGCCGATTGGCGCACAGAACAAAGAGTTGACCCTTCTATTGCTCGCGTCATAACCTTGCTAGAAGGAGGTGTGAAATTTGGACCCAAG